CCAATCCACCAGCTCAATGACGCCTAATAGTGAAGCGCCCATGGATGAAGTTTTGCTCAAACGCCCATTCTAGCTCATATTGACTTATTCCACTAGCTCAGTATCCGTTTGTGTCACACTCACCATATTGGGCTTAAAAATCGATGGTTTAGTGCTATCTATGATCTTGGTGTTTATATGTTGATTTGATATTTTGTCTTTGTAAATTCAGACATGAGCCCGAACAGCCGACCAATCAGGAGCCTTCTGTCATTGAATTCTGCTTTAGCTAGCTTGTTTTGCGAGAGAGGAGAGCTCGCCGCCACTCCTGATTGGCTGTTGGTAACTCAGTCGTTACTATAAACCACATTTGCATAAATTTGGCTCCACATTACCGCTCAAATAGCCTGTTCGAGTTAGCTCTAATTAGCTTCTTCTGCATTAAGGCAAACACTACGGTAACGAAATACATCACGGATGGACTTTATTTCAAAACATTCAAGACTTTACCAAAATGTCTCACTTTTAAACATTTAAAGCTGAGGTTCCTAACTGTCAAACCACAACAAAAATGACTGCGTATCAAAATCCCTGTAAGTAGCCCCTCGCTCTCGAAATAATTTGTTGTTATTTTTGGTCACATCTTTAGATCATCTTCATCTCAGCCAATCAGCTCGCAGCCCAAAATGTCAAAATGCGACTCCCAGGATTCTTAGTCCGCAGAAGATACAATGAAATAATTACAACTTTATGTGGTCTGATGAGTCTTTCTCTTGGTGTAAACAAGAACGCATTTTTAAGGAGAAAAACATATCGCCCTAGCTTTAGCATGACTCATTTCTATCACAAATAATACAGAAGAGGGTCTTATTCAAAAATCTTCCATAAATATCACACCTCTTCTAACGACCAGAGCACGACATGACGTGGCTCCTACTGGTCCAAGCAGCTGTGTAGCGGCCCCTCAGTCGCTCGCATTACCATATCATTATCCCCGGTGCCAATAGCCGTTGATGGTTGTGGGTGACGGTAATGAAGTAAGAGTGCGGTGGCAGTTGGGCTGTGGTCGCGTTTCAGACTGGAACCTCCTCCGCGATAATTGGCCCGAGAGAAACATTTCAGCACTCGCGGCCACACCTCGGCTCACCTCCCAAACTCACCGCGCACCCCCCCTTCATTTGGAGAAAGATTAAAAAGAAAGAAATGGGACTAAGCGTAGTTCCCCAGAGTTTTGTTATGTGTGGTTGTAAAAGTAGAGCTAACAAAGGTTCACAGAGATGCTTTTACTGCCTTGCTTAGAGTTTCAATTTCAGTTTTTTTATTTTTTTTCTGATATTTCTGACAATTATGACAATTTCAGGCAAAAATATGGAATAGGCAGAAGCTAAAGTTTATAAACTTACTTAAATTGACTTAAGAGTTATCTATAGAATTTCTACTAAAGATATTATTTTTACATTCTAAAACATTAAATGGAAAAAAAGTAAAAAGTACATGGTCATATTATCATGTTAGAGATTAGATATTAGTACTAAAATTACTAAACAGTCAAAGTCAAAGAAACAAGCAAGGAGCAGCCATCTTCCTGTGGACCCACCACCTGCAGGAGGATCAGCGAGGGACTGGTGCGTTGCGAATTGGGTGGCAGCTCTGATTACCACCCCCCTGACCCAGAAATGGATGAATAAAGGGATGAAAAAGAAAAATGAAATGAGACAAAGAAGAAAAGCTGCAAATAATCTGTCAATGCCTCTGTAGGTTTTCATCATTAAATATAAATGGCTTTCATTAAAGCAACACATTCTAAATATGCAGGCTTAGTACTTTAAGTCCCTAATAAGTTAAACACAATAATTATAGTTGCTTAAAGGGGGGGTTTGTAAAAACAGGGGAGGCTGCTGCTCTTTATCGCACCATGATTTAATAAGGAGTTTTGGACCTACCTCTTATAAACCATTCTGCAAACTGAATTAAGACTTAGACTTTTCTCTGTCGTTAAGTGGAGTGCAAAAAAAACACCCAGTACAATAAGAACGGCTCTCGTTTAGGTGAGATCACTTGTTTTATTTGTGACAATTCAGTGCAGATGTGGCACGCTGCGTCGCAGGTATAATCCGATTTTAGCCTTGACGAAGTGAAACAGCTTTGAGCTATTGTTGTATTCTACATTACCTCAAAGTCAATGTTATTGCGGTAATGTTAACCACTGCTGACTTTTATTCTTCTGAGCAAGTCTGTTCAACTTACAGCCCGGGAACTACAGACCCCAAACCGTCGAATCCGAGCCCTCGACCTTTGTTCACTGCAAAAAGTAATCGAATAAAAGGTCATGTTGAATCAAGGTAGTTTTATCTTGGTTCATGGGACAGAGAAAAACATTTCTTCTTTCATCTTTCTTCGAATTGTTTTCGATTTAGATTTTTATTGATAATCGACTTGTCAGGAAAGAACAAAAGAGAATCTATAAAATATCACGAAACACTTAGTGCACTTGTTTATAGTGTTGTTTTAGAAATATCATGTTGATTTTTTTATGGTCTTTTTATGCATGCCTTATTCTATTTTTACATGTAGAACTTGCACCAAGATCAAAAGCTACTTTGTGACTTCATGTTTCTCACAAAGGCGTTAAGAGGCATTCAGATTCTAAGAAGACATTTTAAGAGGAAAATATTTTAGCAAGGGACCATTGTATATGTTGAATGTAATATTCTGTTAAATGTTCCAAGTGGTGATGCGATTCAGAGCACAAGGCCATCCCAAACATTCGGTCCTTGAGAAAAAAATATTTGAATTATGACGCTTTATAGGAATTACAGACTGCATTTTTCTGCAAACATGGGTACATTTTACCCATACAAACGCTAATGAGTTTTGTACAACAATGTGGAAAGATAAAACTGTCTAAAATGATTCCTGTTGCCCTGTTTAGACACATACTATATTCTTTAAATGTGTGTTTTTGAACATCAGTTTTCTTAGTAGTATCTTGAGTGAATCGAATTAGTTACAACTTCAACTAATAGTATCCATACCACAATTCAAGCATATCTTTAAAAAAATGTAATTCTCTTAAAGGTATGTAGGAGGATTTTTCCAAATTTTCTGGTCTCATTTGACGAGCACGTTTTACCGGAATGATTGACAATTGGGAGGACCAATAGTCTTGATGATCCACTTGGAAGTAGAAAATCCTCCTATATACAGTACCTTTAAACTCTCAAATGTTTTCTACACAATACTTCACAATATTACTTCAACAAGACTCTTTCTGTCTTTAAACTTAGGTACTCCAGCTTTACCATATCATGTTCCCCATCCATCTTACCTTTTCAAACAACACAACCTCACAGTAACCAACAACATTACTGTACAAATGATGATGAGAAAACTACACAACCCCAGATCTTACAGCGGTCTATGAAATGTATACAGACTTGTTAAAAAAGGCTCATAAGATCCTTGAGGATATGGGAGATGTGGCGGGGCTCAAACCCCCCGAGCAGTAAACGGTAACGTGCAGTTTATTGCCCGAATGGAAGCGTTGGTTGAACACTGCGACAGTGGCCAATGTGGCATAATCACTTCCATAAAGCTGCAGCAGTGCTATGAAACCACAGCACCAGAGCTTGAGACGCTCCCACCGACCAGCCACCCATTTGAGATAATTGCCCTTTGAGAACTGGGCCCTTTGAGCACTGGACCCTTTGAGCACTGGGCCCTTTGAGCCTTCTGTTCACTATGAGGGTACTTAGACGTCTGGTAGAATCCTATGGAAAAACCAAATCATGCAATGTTTACCTTTTTAGCTTCATAATGTAGTATAGTCATCAATGTATACAGGTCTGGTGACATCTGCTGGCGATGTATGTAACTGCATGCCATGATCATAATTGGAAGTATGGGACTGACTGAACTTACTGACGAAAATGACTGAAGATGCGGAGAGCTAAGATTGATGTCACAGAAGAGGATAGTTTTTATTGTTTCACACAGTGTAAGCAACACAACCACAGATTTAGAGATCCTTTATTTGTCCCACAGTGGGGAAATTTCAGTGTAAATAAACGTTCAAATGGGTTTTATACCAAGACATAACGCAAAAGCTCTCCTCAGTATTTTCCACGTTTGCTGTAGATAACTTTTCTTCGACCTTCAGACAAAAATATGGAGTGGAAAAGGTCTGACTTCTGTTGCGTGCTTGTAATGACCAGCTCAACATGATTGCACAAAAAGTCTCATAAATGATCCACAATACCACATTACGACGATTTGTGTGGTACGACAAGATTGGAATATTTGGAATTGTGTATTTGGAACTTTCCACAGCACGGTTAAGAAAGTACTGCACGCATGTGCAGCATCATACATGTGTGCAGTACTGTTTTGATTTTAGTGATGCATACATGGATGGTGTGTGCATAAATGTGCAAGACTCCTCCCTAAACACCTGTAAATATCCTCTGACTTACAGTAACATCAGCACAAGAAACAGACCTCAGAATTTCAAGTCATAGAGTTTTGTTGTCTTTAAAAATATTATTTTTTTTATTATATTTGACTTTGTAGTGACCCAGCGGCTGTATGAGTGGTCAGTATTGCGTCTTAACTTTTATCAAGGTTGTGTCTACTGTGCTCCAGGATCAATTATTTTGTATTTTGTCTGGTATGCGGTCCGTCAGAAGAGAACAACTTTCAAACTATTTATCCTATGCATTCTGAAGTAAGAATGTGAGCTCCATCAACATCTTTGGAGATCAACATCTGATAGAGCTCTGTCCAATTTCCCTCCTGCACCCCAGGGGGAGCTCAACCAAAATAAATGCAAATACTTACATCGGCCACATTGCTATATTGACTCCAGAGTTAAAAATTTGCTGTAAAAAATAAGTATAGCTAATAATGTACAAAATGACGCAATGGGAAACAGCAGCCTTTGCGTTTTTCTTTGACTTGACTTTTTTTTTAGGCACTTTTGGTTTTGGTCTAACGTGGATGTTTTGTGTTCTGTCTGTTCACAGGGCGATGCTGGTTCTTCTGCTGCAGGCATCAAGGTGAGTGCATTGAAAAGTTCCATGTGTGTTCCACCAAAACCCCAGATATGACCAACACGTGTGCTGCTTTTCAGGGAGAACCGGGTGAACCTGGACGCGGTGGAACCAAGGTAAGAAAAGCTCCATTTCACCGCATTTATAGAAACATAGAAACTTGAGACATCTCTTGAGACAGTAAGTACTTCTTGGTTTCATGTATTGATAAATAGACAGTAAGGACATCCCAAATCGATGCAGGAAATAACTTTAAAAAGACATTGGGTTTTTGGCCAATTTTTCTGTTTAGATTTTTTGCATACTCAGCGTATAACACAAAGTGAGTCTGCAAAAATTGCTAATGTAAAAATGAAATAATTGCAAAATAATTTAACCGAAAAGACAAGTCTTTCAAATATCATTGTTTTGTATTTGTGCAGTTTTATTGGTTGGCAAAGTAATCCATGCATTAACCAAAACATGGTTGACGCATTTTGAGAAGGAGGACAAAGCCACAAATACGTAATTAAAATTTGTCTGATAAATCTTAGCCAGAACAAGGCTAGAAATGGCAATCATAGTTCCTCTGTCCTTTCTAAATAAGTTGTAACATCATCAAAAAATATTGTAAGTAGGTAATCCTTATTTATAGAGAGCCCCTCACAGAGATTGGCTCACAAGGTTCTTCAGATGTAAAAATGAGATAAGTTTTAAAAACAACACACATTCAAAACACAGTTATAAAATACAAAAGAAAATACAATAACATACAATAAATTCCAGACAGACTGCAAAAGCCTATCTTAGATTCCATGGCTTTTGGTGGCACCGACTCAAAAGCTCGGTCCTCCCGTTTATTCACAACGTGGGGCAGTTAACAGGAGCTGATTGTCAATGTTTTTTTCTTTCTGTATATTCACTTAAAGCTGGGGGACCTAACTTTCCCCCCTCCACAAATCCATGGTGTTTGTCACAACAGAAAGAGATTGGAAAAATAATGAAATTGTGAACAGATCAGAACACATCTGTTCTTCATATCACTAGAAAAAGATACCTGTGAGTCACTATTTGACGCTTTGGGCTGAAATCCGATTGGCTGAGCAGGGCGGTCTCTTTTTCTCTCTCTTTTTCACTTTTATGTCTGAAAAAGGTGTGATAGAGACCAAAAATACATGTAAGCAAAAACTAGTGACTGAACCGAACTGTTTTGATTGGATTTTATTACACAGTTAAATGTTTCTCTCAAAGTTACATGCCCCAGCTTTAAACCTACTCATTCTTATAGCTCATTTATGGCAGATTTTATTAACCGGTGGCAATTTCTATGGCTGGACTAACTTCAGTTTTCCCCAAATTAAAAGCATTCCTCAAAATCAACCAAGACGACTCTGCAGAGTGGATATTACTTTTGAATAGTGGGATTAGTGAGATTAAATATGGTTTCCTTGATTAAAAGTGAGTGGCAATAAATCGCACCACAGTCAAACAGTAGCTCCATGCTGCACGTATACGAGAACAGTAGAATTATGTCATATTATGGGGATTTTGATGCAGAAATGTGTGTTTATATCACTTTGGGAAACGCACATTCCTGTCATATTTGCGCCTGTGTCTGAAGTGAAAGTTGCAGCTCAGTCCATGGGAGGCATTGGTTTGAACTTTGGTCCCTCGCGGCGTTCCGACTCGTTTTACATTTACTTTGGCCTGGGAAATGTTTGGGTCCAGTCTTATGTTCCTTGCGTCTTTGTTGGAATCTTCACAGAAAGAAACAATTGTATGCATGTTTGAGTCGGCCCACGGTTGTCACATTCTCAAACCACCAGGTTGTCCATTACTCGGTCTCGTTTCTGTTTCCTTTAGTTTGTCCTCGGGCCGCTTTGGATTGACTCTGACATGTTTTTCCAAGACTGAAAGAAAATAATAGTGTTATATAAAAGTTGGCGAATACACAGCGAGAGACCTAGAAATGAAATGCCATTACTGCTCTGTTTAGGGCTGCATGATTAATCGCAATCGAACCGGAATCGCAACTTTTGTGGTTGAATTGTAAAGACTGTAGTTATTTAAAGGGGATGTCAGCAACACGGATTTTACGTAAATTTTGTAATTTATAATTCTGACCATGAGACAATGTACAGTAAGTATTTACCAACAATAAAATATTTAAAATAGTCCTTTGTCTTGGCATAACTACGATCAGTAAGATTTGCTGAAAGAGAACAGTTAAATCAATGACAAAGGGCCTCAAGGATTGGAATTAATTTTGACCAATCAGGAGGCCGCAGGGGTGAGCATGGGCGGGGCTAACCAATGCTTGTCTCACTCTTTTTGCAATTCAAAAGTAACTGAAATTCACTTGTTTGCAAACTAAACGTAAAAATGTCATGTGACTAGAGAAATATTTTATAATGAAAGCTAGAGACTATAGAGATAGAGATATAGATGTACTGTAGATTATATTACATAGTTCTTTTTTGTACTTTGAAAGTTAAGTACCCCAGCTTTACTCAACTTTCAGCTGAAAATATATCATAATCTAAAAAAACCTGGAAAATGGAAAAAGGCCCACACTGATTGAATTGTTGCCATTTCGTTGGCATTTAGCAATTTCCACAGACAGACAAGTCTTATTTACAGCTCTCTCTGATCCCCAGAGCGCTGTTGCCGTTTATCATTCCCGTGCGCGGCTTATCTCTGCTTTTTATACGCCATAAATACAAAAATATTAATAGAGCGTTAAATGATGTGCTGTTTTCAAAGACTCCCAGAGGCCTCACGTGGGACCTGACCTCTGGGTTTTCCTCCCAGTGCTTCTGTGCTACTCCAACTCATGTTAAGTAGAGCCATGCGTCCACTGACCTGGTGAAGGAGAAACCGTGTCCAATATTTTCAATTTACATAAATACAAAGTACGGTTTTGATTATGTATATGTCTCATTTTTTGTTTGTTGGACTTCAGTGACCAAATTTAGAGTGATATCATTATTATCTATGACAAAAATGTTTATGTGCAGCCAAATCACCTAATGTTGTGTGCTCTTTGTAGATGATTTGTTGTCATAGTTCAATTCAATTCAGCAAAAAATATCGGTAACACTTTACATTACGGGCCGGTAAGTCCATGGTACTTACAGTGGTACTTCTAGGTACTTATTGTGGTACTTACAGAGGTACTTACAGTGGTACTTCTAGGTACTTATTGTGGTACTTACAGAGGTACTTACAGTGGTACTTCTAGGTACTTATTGTGGTACTTAGAGGTACTTACAGTGGTACTTATTGTGGTACTTACAGTGGTACTTCTAGGTACTTATTGTGGTACTTACAGTGGTACTTCTAGGTACTTATTGTGGTACTTAGAGGTACTTACAGTGGTACTTATTGTGGTACTTACAGTGGTACTTAGAGGTACTTATTGTGGTACTTACAGTGGTACTTAGAGGTACTTATTGTGGTACTTACAGTGGTACTTACAGTGCTACTTAGAGGTACTTACAGTGGTACTTACAGTGGTACTTCTAGGTACTTATTGTGGTACTTACAGAGGTACTTACAGTGGTACTTCTAGGTACTTATTGTGATAATTCTAGATACAGCTGTAACTTAGTAATTCAAGGATACTACAGCATTATTCCTATGTAGTAAATGTGGTACTTCTACATACATACATACAGAGGTCATTTGTAGGATTGTTTGACTATAAAACATAAAACAACATAATGTAAAACAAACGTCTTTATTAATATGGAATAAGTAGCACAGAAAGGACAGTATAAATACATTTAATGCATATTTCAAAACAAGTTTCAAGGACAAGGGAAACACTGCAAGAACTAGGTACCCAACCCAAGTAACAAGAATTACACATTAACACACCAGTAAGACTTGGCAGCAAGTACCAGGTACTTGGCAGCACAGTAAGTACCAGGTAGTACCTGGTACTAGCCACAGACAAAGGACTTGGCCACATACAAATGACTTGGTAATATGTCAAAGACTTCACCATAAGTACCAGTGATAACACCAGTAATTATACAGCAAGTACCAGGTACTTACCATAGGAACTGGCCCATAATAAGATAAAGGACTTACCCATAAGTACTAGTGATAATACCAGTAATTATATAGTATACCATGTACTTACCGGCAAGTACCAGGTACTTACCAGCAAGTACCAGGTACTTAACAGCAAGTACCAGGTACTTAACAGCAAGTACCAGGTACTTAAAAGCAAGTACCAGGTACTTAACAGCAAGTACCAGGTACTTAACAGCAAGTACCAGGTACTTAACAGCAAGTACCAGGTACTTAAGAGCAAGTACCAGGTACTTAACAGCAAGTACCAGGTACTTAACAGCAAGTACCAGGTACTTAACAGCAAGTACCAGGTACTTAACAGCAAGTACCTGGTACTTGCTGCCAAGTCTTACTGGTGTGTTAATGTGTAATTCTTGTTACTTGGGTTGGGTACCTAGTTCTTGCAGTGTTTCCCTTGTCCTTGAAACTTGTTTTGAAATATGCATTAAATGTATTTATACTGTCCTTTCTGTGCTACTTATTCCATATTAATAAAGACGTTTGTTTTACATAATGTTGTTTTATGTTTTATAGTCAAACAATCCTACAAATGACCTCTGTATGTATGTATGTAGAAGTACCACATTTACTACATAGGAATAATGCTGTAGTATCCTTGAATTACTAAGTTACAGCTGTATCTAGAATTATCACAATAAGTACCTAGAAGTACCACTGTAAGTACCTCTGTAAGTACCACAATAAGTACCTAGAAGTACCACTGTAAGTACCTCTAAGTACCACTGTAAGTACCACTGTAAGTACCTCTAAGTACCACTGTAAGTACCTCTGTAAGTACCACAATAAGTACCTAGAAGTACCACTGTAAGTACCACAATAAGTACCTCTAAGTACCACAATAAGTACCTCTAAGTACCACTGTAAGTACCACAATAAGTACCACTGTAAGTACCACAATAAGTACCACTGTAAGTACCTCTAAGTACCACAATAAGTACCTAGAAGTACCACTGTAAGTACCACAATAAGTACCTAGAAGTACCACTGTAAGTACCACAATAAGTACCACTGTAAGTACCTCTAAGTACCACAATAAGTACCTAGAAGTACCACTGTAAGTACCTCTGTAAGTACCACAATAAGTACCTAGAAGTACCACTGTAAGTACCTCTGTAAGTACCACAATAAGTATAAGTACCTAGAAGTACCACTGTAAGTACCATGGACTTACCGGCCCGTAATGTAAAGTGTTACCAAAATATCTCGCAGGAGTTTACAAAACCGACAAATTTGCCGTAAGCACTTCACCTTATGTTGGCTTTCTTTCTGCTGTTTAAATAAACGTGAAACTAATTCTTATCCAATTTCTTCCTGAGATACCACAGTAGAAATACTTTGCATCGTTATATATGCAGAGTTTAAAGTCTTGATAAAAGTTGCGGATTATACTCTGGCAATCGTGGTAGTCTATGATTGTTGAGTGTGTGATGTGAGAGTGAAGGCCCTGTTTAGACGGAGGCGCTGTGGTCTCCACACACGTGCTGAAAAACATGCAAGCTCTTTATTTGCAGTGCACAGCGTTTACACAACGACAGAAAACAATGTAGTTCTAGCACCCGGCCAGTAGTGGGCAGTGGAACTTTACAACACAACACACGCGACCCACTGCAGTATAACCACTTCCTCAACAACATCCTCCTCAGGCCACTGCAAAGACGTGAAAGCAGGAGGCTGTTTCTCGACGCTTGCGTTTTCACACCGACTCTAATGTTTTACTGTGGCAGTGTCCTCGTGTAAACCGCACCTAAAGACCTGGGGTACCTCCCTTTATAGTTATGGTAAAATGCTGTGAACCGATCAGACTGCAACATGTGCGGTCTTTATCTTATCAGAAAACATTGTCCTTTGCATACTTGTTGGAAAGAAGTGAGTCACTCTTGGAAGCTTTGGGCTGAGTGTGCAGGGTCCGATTTTAATTCCTTTTTACAGTTTCTATTTTCTTGAAGCCAAAACACCTGATGCATCATGATTGACGTACCTTAAGGTTCTTTATTTAGTCAACTAAATTAATTTGCTTTTTCAGAAGGTTTGTACCTCGTTGTAATTCATTGACCGTGAATTATGCTTAACTTGAATTAAAGCTGCACTACACAACTTTTCTGATGGGGTCTGCTGTCCAGTCATTATAGATGGAGACTTAGTACCTCAGTTTGGTATAACGACTTCTGCTCAAAAACCTGAATTCTTACATTAGGTCGGCTCTCCTCCTCTCAGATATGACCTATAAACTAAACTAAGTGAAGTGACTCGCTTGTCTCCAATGTAGATGGAAAAGTAGACCTCAGCTAAAGTTGTGTAGTCTATACTTAAAATGGAAACACAGTAAATGCAATGTGACGTTTTCGCATTATCAGCCAGCCCTGCACTGCAAAAAGTGACACAAAATAGGTTGAATAATGCTTGAATTGGGCCACATTGAGGAATTTTTGACTGCTTTAAGACCAGGACTCCCATAACTATGAAGCTAGAACTCCCAGAACTGTCATTTTGACTGGTCTTGTTCAAACCAATGGAATTCTGAGAAATTGCCCCAAAAATATCCAGTTTTACACCATATTTATTATGAATAAGTCATTTACAAATGTTTTACTTTTACTCATGTTTAATTAGTGATAAAACAGGTGAAATACAGCAAAAACAGATTGTTGAAAATCTAATGCTTACTCCTGACAGTAAACGGTGTGTTGCTATAGTTACCTCTGGTGAAAAAAAGACTGAACCAGCAACTGAAAGAAAGAAAGCAACTGAAAATGGGTAGATAATAAAGATGATTTAAAACGTTATGACATAGAAATAAACTGCATATAGACACAGAAAAAGTCTCAAAGTTATGAAGACCAAGAAGGTACATACATTGTAAAGTTACCCACCCAAAATGACCCAAAGATGTCAAATTGCCTTTTCTGGGAGTTCTACTGTTAAACAATGGAACAAGCAAAATATCTAGTTTTAGAGAGTGAGAAAAGTCTGCAAATAGACTGAACTGCTTGTCCCATTGGCAAACCTGGCTTTGAAAACAGTCAAAAAGAACTCTTGATCCTGGCCTTTATTATCTCATGATTTATCCTTTTATTCAGTGTTGTGTCTCAGCAGCGATCTCTCCTTTAGTGTCATGTAAAAACTCTTTGAATTTCAGAGTTGCACTTGTGGCTTGAGTGTTATAACCAGCACTAATCACACTAAGCTGCATGAGATGAGATGCTCTGGATGCATGTGCAGTTCCTTCTTTCCCTCTTACGGTCGGCTACAGTAGAGCTCGCAGGGAGGCCCTCCAGGCGGGGCCCGGCTCGGCTTAGCTCGGCTCGGCGGTAACGTGTGCCACTCTTCCTGTGTAGGGAGAGCCAGGACTTCCAGGGCTGCCTGGACTCCCGGGAATAAAGGTAAATGTTGTAACTGTTTTTGTCCTCAGTCGCTCCCCCCCAGTGTTGTCACCCGTGTCCATTTGCTGCAGGTGTAGAAGCGTAGAAAGCAGGGTTGGGGAACTCATGGTGATGCAATTCATAAAGGGACTTAAAGGATACATACTATGCTTTTTTTTTCATAGATATAACCATGTCCCAACAATGTTCCCTCATGAAAAACAGACATTGTCTCATGTGGTGAAATGGAATCAGGAATCCAAAATGCAGAACTGACAAAAAATCATAATATACTGAAATAAAACCAAATCCAGTGTAGCAATAAAACACAAAAAAACCAATAAGCCAGGTAGAAACTTGGGTTAGACAATGGACGGACAACAAGTGGGGAAAAGCACAGTGGGAGAGACGTGTGAATCACATTATGGAAGGACAAATAAGAACTCAAAAAGGCAACAGATGAGGTAACTAAATAAATAAAAGCCATGACAGCTGGAGTTGTTTTGAAGACGCATTTTTATCAGAAACTTTGTCTAAAAGTTTCTGCCTCAGTCCTGTAATAGTGTGATGTCATTGTACCACTATAAAATCACACTCAGAGCAGTTTTTTGATAAATAAAGAAGTTTTTAGTCATTTATCAAGTGAAATGACACTTTATAATAGCATGGGGAAAAAAATAAACCAATCCAACTCCTCCCTCTGGTGGTAGTGTTGGGAGTTACAGTCAGAAAGCACAGATTATCCCTTCACACTTATTTCACCGTGTATTGTCTACTATAGATATTATTTCACGTTCTAAAAGATGAAATGCCAAAGTAAATAGTCTCATTATCATCTTTAATGCCTCAAAATAATGTGTAATATTTATGTCTTAAAGCGTATTTTCCGTGGATCCCATATGTCAGTACTGAAACTTGGATAAACTATTTCAGTATAGTTTATAATCCATTTAGCTGGTTTTGTTCTTTTTATGATTGAATTTCTTTTTGGTTGTTAAGTGTTGGCACCTTTAGTCACCAAAGTAGCAAAACTGCCAAACCCAGGACACTTTTTATACAGCGATCAGACTATTAAGATCCATTTTTGGGGAAATTTCAGATCCAAAAGTCCATAAATATTTCCCTACATTTTTCCTACATATCTTTCTTATATTTATTTCTGTTATTGATTTTAATGGACCTAAATCTCTTATACAGTCTCAGGGCTTACACATTCCACAAAATTCCTAAATCGGATTGTCAAATATGGCTCTGAGAAAGTTTCACATTTCACAAAGGAGTACGCTACAGACATGGCCAGCTTGAGAATCTCTAGCCTGTTTTTTTGTGGCTAAACCATACAGTTTGTTGTACTGTATGTGAGCAGTCTTAGCAGGAGCATCTGATATTTACTCACACAAGCTGGGTTTTTTACAGTCTCGCTTCAGAGAGCGGACTTTTACAGTGTCTTTTAAAACCAACAGGAGATGGTGAAATTGAAAAGGGCCTGTATTCATAATATACTGCCATCTAGAATAGCTATCAAGTCAGTGGACCTTAGAAGTAGCCGCTTCAGTGCTCTGTGAGGAATGCCTAATGGCTCGACGGGAAGATGCTTGTTGCTGTTTTGCATGTGTTTTTCCACTCATTGTGCTGGCACTGTAAAAAAAACAAAAAGAAAAAGAGAAATCTGCTTTATATGCTTCTGTTTTCACTTATGGGCTGAACCATCAATCTAACTGCTTTCACTAACAATGCTTACAATTAATCCACTTGTGCATATATTGCCGTTTACTCATTCTCTGTGTTTTAACTGTATTTATTCCCAGAAAGTGTTGTTTTACACCGGTTTGAATTTGACTCAAGTGTAGCCGCCGCCAGCGATTTGCGATTGGAAAGGTTCAGACAGGAGTACGGCTGTAAAAAAGTGAATAGATTAATAATAACTAATCGATTATTGAAAGTCATTTAGTCATTGATTCATTGTTTCTAAACCTTACCTGGAGCAAAACGTATCAAGAAAAGGTTTTATGACTCCAACAGAGCAATATTTACAACAAAACGACATGAAGTTGTTTTTTAATTGTGTGACTAATCAAACAACCAATCACAGGTGTCCCACTTCCTGGTTTGTGTCTTAGCACGAGCACTTCCTGTTTTGTTCCCTGTTTTTTACTGAAACAATGCTGCTGCTGATTTACACCCGCTATCTTCAGGACCTTTTTAAAATCTCAGTTGGGGATGTTTAGGCTTATTTATGCTCTCATCAGCACCACAGAGCCACAGAGGAAGTGGGGCTGTTACATCTAGTCCCTATGAAGATGTTCTTGTGTGGCATTGCTTTAGCTGCATTTTGCCCACATTTATTATGTTCAAATCAAATATAATTCCATGATTTAAACAACTGATCAAAAGAATCTTCACCCAACTAATGGAATATCAAAATAGTCGTTACTTACAGAATTATATGGGAGCAACTGATCATGTAGCAATCACACTATTATTGTCGTTCAAAATATTGTAAACGTTCGGTCGCTGTGAAGTGTGAACGTAATCTGATATTTTTTAAATCTAGATTATACTGATGAATTTAACCCTGATAACCGTGTGTGCATGTCGTCCCCAGTGTGTGTGTGCATGTCTCTGTCAGATCGTTGGGCCAAGCATCTTGTGTCTCCAGCTCATTAGCACCGGGGATGAAGTGTTTCAGCTCGTCAGTGCGACTGTGGGAAAGTGACTAATGTCTGCTGTGATGATTTCCAGGGAGAACCCGGGTTTCTGGGTCCACAGGGAGAGCCGGGGCTGCCAGGACTCCCAGGAACTAAGGTCAGTGTCGTCTGTCTGTGCAGCAAGGAAGAAGAAAGCATTTGGTTTCAATGCCCTACATATTGTTTACATTTCTAAACATATGCCAATTGTAAAGATTGTGCCTACATTCAATTTCAATGTATTTGTGCATGGCCCTAAATCACAACAGCAGTCGTCTCGGAGGACTTTACAAAGATGTCGATTCGTCAACAACAGATCAGAGAATCAAATAGTTTGAACACAAGATTTAGATATGATAAGATAAACTTTATTTATCTCACAATGGAGAAATTTGGCAAAGATACAATCACTCAGATTGTGCAAAAGACAGAAGTGTGGTTAGAAATATATTTTACAGGATATAATTATGTGCAATAAAAAAGTGGCAATAGCAGTGCTGGTTCTTCAGTCCTAGTGCAGGTCATTAGTGACTTACAGGAACAATGCAATAAAAGCAAACACATAAGAGCCATTGGTCAATAGATAGCTGGATGACCACTGTCCATAAAAGTTATTAGATGTCTTTAAATGTCCTGGATCACCACTGTCCTGCATCGGCCAGGACTAACTAAAAAAAAAACCAGTGGGAATTAAAAAAGAGAGAAACCTTGGGGAGGCCCATATTGACAGAGGAGTTGGTTCCCACAGATGGACAGAAGGACTGCGCCTATAGACGCAGGACTTTGGCTGTAGATCCAGGACTTTGGCTGTAGATCCAGGACTGAGGCTGTAGATCCAGGACTGAGGCTGTAGATCCAGGACTGAGGCTGTAGATCCAGGACTGAGGCTGTAGATCCAGGACTGAGGCTGTAGATCCAGGACTGAGGCTGTAGATCCAGGACTGAGGCTATAGATCCAGGACTGAGGCTATAGATCCAGGACTCAGGCGGTAGAAAAAGAACTTGTGTAAATCCATATCTAAATAGCCCTATATTTTTGTCAAAGCCGAACATCGTCAGATCTTAGTTGCTGAGGTCAGTACTTGGACGAGAGAGATCGATGGGAAATACTGTGTTCTTATGCAAAATACTTCACCCACTGCCCAGTGTGAATGTGGGGAGTGAGTCGGTCAGAGAGGCTGATGATAGATCCGGTCACTGTGCTTCCGCCAGTCTGCCCCAGGACAGCTGTGGCTGCAATAGTAACGTAACAACACCAGGAGTTAAAGCTGAATGCCATTCGGATGTCAAAAAGAACAAATAACGTAAATGAATAGCACATATATAAGATGGTGTTGATAGGGACAATTCAGACTTATTCAAATATGCAAGAATCAATCCAAATACTTGTTATGTATCATTACTGTGTCTTCTGATTATACCACAGCGCCCTCTTTTGGCCTTCTTATGTCCCCCAGTTCATTAAAAAACAGGAGCTCAAACTCAGCCCAGAAAGTCACGTCCTCAGGTTTAAGACTGGACTCACCTGATGAACTGAGTCTAGATTCAGATTAATGTATTTACCATTTGCAGTAAAACCACATTGGAATACATCCGCAAAAGTCTCCGATGTGCACAAGACAAGTACATACTGTAAATAAAACAAGGTGCTAATGTGCTCCTGCTTGGTTGAAATGAAAATATTGGAAGGATAGGTCAAATGCAGGTGACATATTTGGGGATTATTATCAATATAAGGAATATAAGGAGTTGGTGGATTACAATTGGCATGCCACCTAATAACCACGATAAGTTATGAACCTCTAACCGAAAGGAAATTAGTTTTGAACGCAAAACTAATGCCAAAAAGCAAGAGGGAAACGTCTATATCAAAACAATATAAAAAGTTACACCTCTTTGTGATTTCAAATATCAATATTTGCTGACTTTACTGCTGTTAAAAGTGCTGACGATTGTCTTTCCCCGAGTCGCACCAGACTGAAAGGTTGCAGTCGTATTTGGGAATAAATCCGCACTCAGCAGCTCTGTGATATTTCAATCAACTTCCCCAAAATCAGTATGTTTTCAAACAGGGCGAGAGAGGCGACCGGGGCCTCCCAGGAAAAGGGGAACGCGGAGAGATCGGACTGATGGGACCAAAGGTTAGTTCATACAGGGGCCATGTGGGATACTGAGATATTGTTTTAATAAAGTTATGGAAATGGATCAGTATGGCAAAAAAATCAATATGGAGACAGAATTCAAAAGATATTCACCAGAAACATGTCTTAGCATGAGTTCAAATTTAAAGCTGGGGTACCTCACTTTCAAATCTAAATTAAACTATGCATATGTACTAAAATCCATTTCATTATTTGCTCTCAAAACAGTTATATCATTATTTTTCACATGCATGTGTTTTTTCACATTTTTAGATCAGCTTTTTTCAGGCAGAAAAGTAAAAAATAGAAGACCACCCTCTCTCAGCCAATCAGCTCCCAGCCTAAAGCGTCTAAATATATATATATATATATATATTTATATATATATATATATAAGTATGCTAAATATACAACATGTTTTCTCATAAGGTGAAGGCAGCATGTTGTGGTCTTATTTGTTCAGAATTACTGTTTAAGGAAAATGTAAAGTTGGGTACCACAGCTTTAAACATCTATATTTAAAGGTCTGCAGTGTAAAAAGGCAAAGCTTGACTTGGAAGCGTAATTACTCAGTTCATGTACATTATGTGGTCAACATAACTTTGTGAATTTTGTTGTTGTTATTTTTATGAACTCCACCAGAAAAGAGCAAGTCCCAGTTACCATAGCAACACATCGTATATGTACAGCAGTTAGCGTTTAGCCTTTAAAACATGCTTGTTTTTTTTTGTATTTCAAGTAATATTTGCCAGTTTTGGCAGTAATTAAAGTTAAAAACCGTATACATTATTTAATTTTAATCAAACCAGTCAAGAACTAAAACTGTGTTTGTGTTGGAATTGTTCATGATTCCATTGACTTGAATGGGAGCCTCAAAATGACTGAAATCTAGCGGTTTTTAGTTTTTATTTCCTTGTGTTGATGGAGTTGAGTTCAGATTTTCAATAGAGAGACTGTGTTTGAATAAAGAGAATGTAAAATCCGCAGTAGATATTTAAATGCAAAATAATGTTTGCAATTCAGCTATTCACAAAAACAAAAGCCATATGATAGACATATACATCCATCCCGGTGCAGACTCATCCTTTGGCTCTTGCTGCCCTCTACTGTCCACCCAGCGCAACTGCACTCCCTTAAACACGGGAAAACCCAATTCCCACAGTAGTCATTTATCCAGTACGCAGCTGTGTTAACAAAAACTGGCAAAATCATTACGGCTGAAAAAACGTTCCAGTCGCTCCCCAGAGTTTCGCCATAGAATAAACCAATTGCGGCTGCGTTTACGAATATTTACATCTGGCCCTTATCCCGGTAGGTAGCCTCAGGTCTGTAGTCTAAACAAGGACAGGCCAAAGATCTGGATCTGGCCCCGAAAGAAACTCCAATGGACTTGCCCCGTCTTTATCAAGGGGCGGTCTGAGTAAACAATCTGACTGTGGTGCGGCAACTCCATCAACCTCGACTCATTTATCGTTTCAGAGCGAGATAAGAAATGTAGGTTGACGGTTTTCATTTGTCAGGAATTGATAAACAGCAATTTATCAAACAACTGTTATGTCACTTCATTTTTCTTATGTATCACAGGGTGTGCAAGGGGAATCCGGCATGACTGGTCCTAAAGGGTCCAAGGTGAGGAAATACAGAAAGTTCATACACTCTTTTGATTTTGTTTTGACTTTGTCGTAGAGATTTTTGAACAGTAACGCACTTTTGTTCACTCATTGTTAGTATTTTTTCGATGTTATCTTCTGACCCTGATCAGAAGTCTCCATCCCCCACCCCCAACATCCATGACAGCTCGGAGTCTTTTTGTGGTGGTTGTGAAATACTTTCTTTATCCTCTTTGATGGTGAAGCTGCACATTCTTCTTGGCAAAAAGCCTCCAGTTCCTGTAAATTCCTGGACCGCCTTGTAGGAGTTACTGTTGTAATTTGGAAATAGAAAATATGTTTATTTGACAATATCTAGCTTTATGGGGAAAGTGGGGACAAAAAACATTCATAATCTCCAAAATGAGGCCAAAACAATTACATCTGATATTTGGGTAAATATATATTTTTTGTTTTCACTATTTAATGTTGAGATAAGATTTTTTTTTCTGTTTCATATTAGGGTGAGACTGGAGACAAAGGAGAAACTGGGATGTTTGGACCTAAGGTAAGTTTAGAAAGATGAGTACCTGGTGCCGCCACACGAGGGCAGCATAGCGCCAAACTCAACCACAACTTAGCATTTCTATATGTACACATTCTTAAAATAACTACTGGTGATAAAGGTGTTGGGCAAGTTAAAAAAATACAATTTGTGGGGGTCATGATGGATAATGAACTTAATTGAAAGTAATTCATATCTGAAATACAGAATGCATTGACTGCTTCAATGTGCTGATATTGTAAACGGGACCAAAGAAGAACATTATGATTGATATAAATGTATGCTGTGGCTGTTTCCAGGGCCCCCCGGGGCAGAAGGGAGATCCAGGTGCCACTGAAATCATTGACTACAATGGAAACATACAGGAAGCTTTGCAGGTCAGTGATTTGAATTATATTTGAATCTTTTACCAAAACTATTTCCGAAAGGCTTTTTAAGGTTGATATTTATAGATATAGATAAAGATATTTTTCATATTTCCAAAATAACACAAAATAATAGGAATGTGTTCAAAATAAATACATATGGATACGTTTTGAAGATATAAAACCATTTATTGGTTCCTGTTTTTGTTTTTTTTGTTTATCATTATTAATATCTTATATATCATCTTTTTATTTTTAGTATTATTGTTTTTCCAATTAGAATATGTTTCTATTGTTTTTTTATTATTATTTTGTATTATTTATTAGAATATTTTTAGTCATATTGTAATATATTTTGCTATTTGGATATTGCATTATTTATTATTAACACTCAGTCTTCATGCATGAAATATAAATGCACTAATTGTGTTGTGTATTTTTCTTAAATCAATATTATGGCATATTGAGGCCAAAATGTCTTACTATTTTGTGAATCGTATCAAATTGTTTGGAACCGCATCGCATCAAATTAAAAGTCCAGGCTTGGAGCGACCCCCAGCCCTGTTCTAAATACATTTACTATTCTACTTGTGGGCTCCTTGTTGTGAGAAAGCCTGACACCAAAGTTTCTTCTGTCTACGTTCTTCTCTCTCCTGTTCTCGCTGCCTCTCCTTTGCCGCTGAGCAGAAGATTACCACTATAACCGTGACGGTAATGGACTTTCCTCTGTGTGTGTTTGTGTGTGGTGAACCTGGTGTTCCTCTGTGTGACTTGTGCATGGGCCCATCCTCCTGTCATCTCCTTCTCCAGCAGCAAAACAGGAATAACACTTAACAGGGTTTGGCTTCTGTGATCCGTGTTGCTCCTGATAGTGATGGTCGACTTTGCACACGCCCAAACATACTCATCATTTCAACACTTTGGCGAGAGAAAGGTCTGAGAATAGATCAGAGCTTTTTGAAGGAAGCGTATTCAATTCAATTCAATTTAATTCAAATTTTTCTTGTATATCCGTTGAAAGCCGTTGAATTCTCCAACACAGATCAGAGAAAACAACAGTTCAAACACATGAAATGAAGCAATAGAAAAAACATAACCGTTGGTCCATAAATGGCAGTCTCCACTATTATGGTGAGTTAATCTGCACTGCAAAAAATTATAAAATATGAGTAAATATGGCTTGAATCGAGTCGTTTTTGCCTTATCCATCCATCCATCCATTTTCTACCCTTTAATCCATTTCTGGGTCAGGGGGGTGGCAGTCAGAGATGCCACCCAAGTCTCATAGCACCAGCCCCTCACTGATCCTCTGCAGGTGGTGAGTCCACAGGAGGACAGCTGCTCTCTGAGTGTGAGTGCATAGCCTTGATCTTTCAGTGGGGGCTTTGGGCAAAGTGGGGTTAAGTGTCTTGCCCAAGGACACAACGACAGCAGTCATCAGTGGGAGTCGGTGGAGAAGGTGGAGAGGTAGGAATTGAACCCACGACCTTCTGGCCTTAAGGCCAATGCTCTACCAACTGAGCTACTGTCGCCCCCCGTTCGTTTTTGCCTTAATTTGAGTTAATTCCGACTGTCCTAAAACAAAATTTGCCAATGGGACAAAGCCATTTAGTCTCATTTCAAGAACCAACTTTATTCTCTCCTTCCAAGGGGGACACTTCTTGTATCTTTTGAAATCAAGATCTTTTAGCTTTGTCCCATCAGCAAATCCTTGGCAGTTAATCTATTTTGCCAAAACTTTTTGCAGTGTAATAGTGGATTATTATATCAGGCATACACCAAATAGATTTAAAAAGAGGATAGAGAACATTGAATGACACTAAACAGAAAATAAATCATACACACACACAAGGAAACATGGTGGAGAGAGAGTCAGGCCCTCAGGACAGGCTTCTACATGGGGCTGTCTGAGAGAGGGTCCACAGACAGAGAGACCCTCCATATATACCCACCATGATGTCATCCACATGTCCCTCTCCATTGGTCAGCCAAGACACAGTGGTGAACATTATTACCTTATTATCATTATAAGACTTACTTTTTTAACATTTGAACCCTCAGAGCTAATGACTTGCTACCCAAATATTCTAAGTGTAATTTAGATATAGATATACATACAAGTACAGATGTCTTTGCATCTTTACTGAGATAAAGATGGATTTTATTTTACGTTTAACTTGTGATGCAACACTGTGACGTTTTCCCCACTGTGGTAGGAATAAAGAATTGCTTCATCTTCATCAATCTGTTGTATGTTACCTTTCAAGGAAAACTCTATAGAGTCAAAAAGAACGGATACAATATAACATCAATTACAAAAATATACAATTACATGCAGTCTATGAAGTCCCAAATATCTGCTTGAAAGCTTACGTTCCATTGACTTTTTGCTGAAGAATAACTCCAACGCTATTGTTCAAAGAAGGCCAAAGGTGTACAAGTGACCTGTTATCTGGAGACACATAAACATTATTTAAAATACATATGATACAAGAGTCCCTTTAAATCCAAGTGGTCACTATGAATGTTGTTGCTTCTGATAATTGTCGTTTTGCTGCAGCTAACACAGTGTGACGCGGCGGCATGTGTGCAGCTTACTGTTTGCTAACCTTTGTGCATTACAGTTTGTTTTGTGAGAATGCTGTATTTGTATTCAAAGTGAATGTTATTTTTGGCAGGGTCCTCCTGGTCCTCCTGGAATAATGGGGCCCCCAGGTCTGAAGGTATGTGTGCAGTTTATCTGTGGACAATGTGTTTCTAATTGGACTGGATTATTGATCATGTACTGACCCCAAACAAGCGCTTTAATAAATACCTCCTCTCTTCAGGGCGATCGCGGCATGCCCGGCCTTCCTGGACTCGATGGCGAAAGAGTATGTTCAGAATTTACTAAATGTTTATTCAAAAGTAAAACACAGCTGTGGTTTGAAGTGTGGTATTTTTCATCCAAGGTTTCACAACAGTTTGTGACAACATATTAGGGTTGTCAAAAGTACTTGAATTTACTGTAGACTCTTAAAGCCCTGTTTCCACCAGCCATTCTTGGCCCTTCTCTACTCTACTCGGCTATATTCTGATTGGGGCCCACCACCTACCCTGTATAACGGGTACCAGGTACTTTTTTAGTACCTTCTTGGCCCAGGCCGAGCTGGCGCTAAAGTGTTCTGACTGACATTGAAAGCCATGGCAACCAAGGAATTTTCTCTGATACTGTTTTGTTGTGAGTAGGTTGCAAGGGTACGGTACCAGATACTAAATGTAATGTAGCGGAATGGAAACGCAACCAGGCTGAGTGACTAGAGGAGAGCAGAGGAGGGCCGAGTAGGGAAGGTGGAAACGGGGCTTCATTTGAGCATGAATCAATACTAACTAAAATTTACATTCACTGAAAGACTTCTTGATACATTTTAGACTAGAACATGTGGCCCAATAAAATATTGTTTGTTTCAGATAAAAAAAATACATGTATAAATCATGTTTTTGTGTTGAAATTATGTGCTGTAACGATTATTCTTTTCTAGAATCAAAATTTAGTTAAAAATCTAGTATCTTCTACACCTCTACAAGATTTGTTTTAATTTATTGACCTTCATTCAGCCAGAAAAAAACTTTATCCTGTGTGACAAAACAAAGGAGATACAATACAATACAATACAATACAATTTATTCTTGTATAGCCCTAGGTCACAACAGAAGTCATCTCAGAGGACTTAACAAAACCATTGAAATCACCAACACAGGTCAGAGAATCAACAGTTAAAACACATGAAGAATACAGTATAAAGCACACACAGAAGAAAATGTCCATACATGTTGTAGAATGCTAAAGTGTCCTGATCATCACCAATCCTTTCTGTTGGACACTAACTGTCCAACAAGACCCTCCTGCATCGACAAGGAAAAACTCTTAAAAAACCCAGTGGGAAAAAGTGAGAAACCTTGGAGGAGAACTAGGGAAACCCACAGGGAGGGAGACCCATATGAGAAAGGGATCCGCTCCTCCGGACGGACAGACTAATGATCTAGGACCTAAGCTAGCTACAGAACGTGGACCAGTGGACGCTGAACGTGGACAGGTCCGGTGCAGGACCTGTCCACCTGTCCTGCAGGAGATGACAGGAGCTGGACTTTACTCATGAGTTTGTTTTGTTCAGGGCTTCAAGGGTTCAAAAGGAGACATGGGAATGCCCGGAGCTTCAGGTGACAAGGGTGGGACAGGTCTGCCCGGTCTCCCTGTGAGTCTCAGCTACAACACTTTGACCTTTTTATTGTCAGGATTTGTGAGTTTGTAAGTTTTCCTCTGTTTTGTTTCAGGGTTCGAATGGAGTGAAAGGAGACAAGGGTGACTCCGGGCTGCCGGGTCCACAGGGTCCTTCTGTACGTGTGAGCTTCTCCATCTGCTAGCATTAGTTACTGCTGGCAGATAAGTACAATCAAATATGAATAAAAAGTACTATTTCAATATGTTTTCATTGTTTACAGATCATTGGACCTCCTGGATCTCCAGGTCCACATGGATCCCCTGGGCCAATGGTGGGTGTCCCAGGTCAAACAATGCAAACTATAGCCTTTTTTTCCACCAAACTCTGCGTGGCTCCACTCTACTGTACTCGGCTCTACTCGGCTATACTGTATCCTAGCAACATACCCATAACAATCCTGTATCCATGAAAATTAGATCACTTTAGTACCAGCTTGGCCCGGATAGAACCAGGGCAAAGCAGGTACTAAAATAGTACCTAAAGCCTAGTTTATACTCGCGCGGCGCGGAGCTTACGGAGGTGACGTGACGTCACTTGCGCAACGCGTTGGTCACCGCAAGGCCCTTACGTTGCCTGCCGCGCAGCATCGAAATTTTCTAACTACGTAAGGATCGCCGCAAGGAAGCTCCGCTGTGATTGGTCCGTGTGTGTGTATTGGAAGGAAGCATGAAGCGGCTGCAGCAGGGACATAGACGAGGCACTATGGAGCAGAGAGCTTTGTGCTTCGAAGGAAAAGCAGTTTGGGCTCAGAGCCAGATATACAGGAGACTGTGGACTATCTAACATATGTATAACTTATAAACTGTGCAGTCGTTTGTTTTGCACTGTTCCTGTCTTGTTTGAATTGTAGCTGCGTTTGTTGCTTTCCTCCTGCACTCGTAAATCGTTCATGTTTGTCTCAGATATTTACCACTATTATTGTTTTTCTGTTTGTGCTGAAAACTATTTAATAATAACTATGTTTCCAACAAGAACTGTGTCTTTATTCACAGAATCACAGTTGAAATGACTTATAAAATAATGAATCTATAAAACTCTCACATAAACCTACAGTAGAAACACGTGTAATGAACTCAAACAGCTTTGTTTGCTATTGTTGTTCTGAAGAGGACAAAGTAGCAGCGTAAATGGGACCGCTCCTGTGTGATCGCCCTCATGTGGTTTGTTGTGGGATTACAACATTCTCCTCAAAACTCCGTAAGGGGAACGCGCCAGTATAACATCAATTGTGCTTACGTAGGTCCACCGCAACCGCTAACGTAAGCCACGCCGCGCAAGTATACACTAGGCTTAACGGTTAAAAAGGGCTGGTGGAAACGCTCCCAATCAGGGTAGAGTAGAGCTGAGTGGAGTAGAGTAGGGCTAGTGGAAACGGGGCTTTTGTCTTATAAATATCTGATATATCCTTAGACGTAGAAGACACGTTTACTGGTGAACAAGGCTTTTATCACATTGTAATAATAGATTAATCAAAGTGTTTTCTGTGATTTCCAGGGCCCCCATGGCTTCCCCGGCCCCAAGGTACCTCTCACAGTGCTGCTGTATAATGCATGCTGTTTGTCTAACATGAGACTAAAGGCGCGCCACACTGGACTCGGTTCAGTTCACATGTTCATTCAACAGTCCGCATAACGTCACTGATGTGTTCCTTGTAAATGGGATCATTTAGAAGATAACACCAGCTCTTTGGTGTCTTCCCGTCTTCATAAACAAATGTCATATATATATATATATATATATATTCAGTACATATAGAACGAAGTGAACCAGGGCCCTGTGAGAGCCAGTGTGACCACTTTGTGCTGTGGAGTGATTAATAAACTAATGCTTGGTGTGGTTTTAGGGCGAGGCAGGTTTGAATGGGTTAAAGGGTACTCGAGGGGAGTCCGGCCACAAAGGGGATCGTGGACCTCTGGGTCTCCCTGTAAGTACAAACTCAGTCAGTTTTCAAGTACATTGAATAAGTGAAAGTGTAATATGATCTGCACTGCAAAAACGGATAAAATATTATTGCTTGAATCTAGTGGTATTTTATTCCGAGTATATTCTGACTATTAAAACAAGATTTGCGAATGAGACTAAGTTAGTTTCAAGAGCTGTTGCTTTATTTTCACATTCCAATGGAGACGTTTCTTGTTTCCTTTTAAAACAAGATCATTTTGCTTTGTCCCATTGGATACTCTTTTTTTTTTAAGGCTGTCAAATTCAAGCAATTTTTCACTTATGTTTTATCACTTTTTTGCAGTGTGTTGTCTTGCTGCAGTATTGTGTGGTTCATGTTGTGTCATTTACATATGCCTGAACTGACCGCTGTAACACGCTGTAATTGAGTTGTTGTGAACCCTGCCATCTACCTGTCCTAATAACTGTGTTCATCTGCTACTAATCCGCCTTGTTCATGTCACTCATACCTCCATAACCACACAGGGAGCCTCCGGCTTGGACGGCAAGCCCGGCATTCGGGTGAGTGTCATTTGACCACGAGGCTTCACCACGTCAGTCTCCCCTCCCTCATCACACCCTCCTCCCATGAGTACTGAGTCAAATTATACAGTTATTTCATTTGATTTTGATTCCAAACACCAACTTTATTCAAGTCACACTGAACTACACTGAGTCTTAGTGTTGTGTGTCATTAACTCACATTAACAAACACTCACACATTAACTGTGTCAGCAGTGATGCACGCGCTTCACATCACACACAACACACTCATGTGGGCGGGGCAGCATCATCATCTGCTCACCACTCTGCCAAACCCTTTACTCATGCAGTCCCTGTCCCATTACAGGGAATGGATGGGCCTGTGGGTCCAGCCGGTCCAGCTGGGCCAAAAGGCGACAGAGTAAGACCACATTGAGACCCCATTTTAAAATCACAAGACAAGAAATACATATGATCACCTATGTTTGTGTAATAGGGTGAGAGGGGAATTCCTGGAGAGCCTGGACCGAGGGGACCTTATGGACTCCCTGTGAGTACCTCACACTGTACAGATTCTCACTCCAGTGTACGACAAAAGATATTTGAAACATGAATATTATAAACCCCACTTCCTACTTTACTCTCCTCGGCTCTACTGTACCTGGTTGGGTTTCTTTAAACTCAGTATCTACCCACAACAAACCAGTATCCATGGAAGCGCCTTGGTAAACATGGCTTCCAGCAGCACTTTGGCCAATCAGTGTCAATTAGAACACTTTAAAACCATCTCGATTTAAACGCTCCCAATCGAAGTAGTGAAGAGCCGAGTAGAATAGAGAGGGCCAAGTAGGTCTGGTGGAAACGGGGCTATAGCGTCCTGACTTTTTGTGGTTTTGTGTTTCTGTGTTTGTGCAGGGGTCAGCGGGACTTCCGGGGCAGGACGTAAGTGTGAGCTTTGTGCATTCTGGCATCATAAAGCCTCCGTGTCATTCTCCATTCATATATGTTGCTGATGTGCGGAGCTTTTAGGACAGCGGTGCCTCTGTTCTGAGCCCTGTGAGTGGCAGTAAATAAAGTGAGTTGTGCTTTCACAGGGGGTCGCAGGATTAAGGGGAGAGAAAGGCGACGTTGGGGAGAGAGGAGAGAAGGTAGACGTAGACCTCTGAAGTGTGTTAGCGCCGAGAGGGCTGATGTCAATGGATGCCCACAGGGAAACCTCCTCAAGCTCCTCACCCCTGTCTACAGCACTGTGCAAACGTTAAACAAGAGAACATGTAGTCTATAATGCGGCCAGCTATATTTTTCTTAGGTTTTACTGTATTTATTTTAGACGCCCAGGGTTCTTATTTATTTGTAGAGCATCTTTCCTACACAGGGAAACACAAAGCACTTCACAGTCCGCATCACTCAAAGCACAAATCATCACATAAAACACCAAAATAATAACACAATTAAAATCACAAAGGAAATTCAAAGCATTAACACCTGTTTTTGTTCATTTATTTCAGGCAAACAAAGGTGCGTCCCAGTTGCTATTATCATAAAAAAACATACCTATAACAAAAATTTAAAAAACAATTTTGCCTGAAAGGGGGTGGGAAGAACTTATTTAATCCTACCCAAATTTCAATTTACACACTAGCTTCTCTGATGCTGCAAACTTAAAAATCAATGAAAAAATAATACCTAGAAAAATCAAGAATTTATCAAATGAAAAGCACAGTTCATACAGAATGCAACCCAAAGTGCTTCATATTGGCAACAGTTAAAACCACATTAAAACACACACTGTAAAAACACATACAAAAGACAATTTAAATATATATATATGTATATAATATGTGTGTGAAATTATATTCCGTTACCTGATGATCAGTCGTAGGCACAGCTGAAAAGAACCGTTTTCAGCTTGGACTTGAATATAGTTTGGATAGCAGCCTCATTACAAAAAACAGTGCATTAAGGTCCGTGTATTAACAGGGTGGAGATAAAATCCTTCAGTTGTATGCACAGGCGAACACCTGGATTGAAGCATTGTCAGAGAAAAAGCCTGTCTCACATTTTCAAATACACAAATACTTAAATATTCTGAAGTAAATGAATTATTAAGACATTTACATATGATTTTTGTACAGTTTTTCTTCTGAAAGTCTACCCTTTTGCACGGTGCTGTTGACATGTTGAGAGTGCAATGCGAACAGAACGTTTGAGAGTATTTCACACAAATCCCACTTTTCATTTCCAATCAATTTTTTGTTTCCATATTTCGCCTCATTTCAGATTCCATTGTAAAACATCGAAGAGAAAACATGTCCATTGACAACAGACTTTGAGACCATCCCTGCTTTCCCATGCATGCACACTAACATTTCACTCACCCCAAACTTTGTGATAAACGTCTCTCTTTTAACTTTCCCTTTGAACTAAGCTTAGACCCGAGTGAACGTGTGTCTCCGTAGAAAATTAATACTTTGTAGTTGTGTAGATTGCTCTCTATCTTACGGTTTCTTTCCTAATTTTGTTTACTGTATGTAGTTGAACCACAGCCGCATGGATCACACACAGGCTGTTAAAGCTGGGGTCCCCTAACTTTCATTACGATTTATAATAGACCACAGACAAATCAGACCATGTTATCTTTTGCATACTTGTAAGAATGAGCCCTGTGAGTCACTTTTTGACACTTTGGGCTGCTGTGTTGAAAATCTATGGTTAGATAAAAGGCAATGGCCAAAAATACATGCATGTTAAAACTAGTGATAAAACCCAAACTGACTTAGAGCCAGGCACTAAGGACATGGAGTTACTTTTTTTGTGCTTTGAAAGTTAGGTACCCTAGCTTTAATTCACACAATTTACAATCTGTTACAACAGGTTGTAAATGGTACCTCATAGAAACATACAGTTGGATTTTGATTGGATTTACAATTAATCGTATTTATGGCTATGATTTATTTTTGTTGCTATAACAGTTTGTACAGCGTGAGATTATTTTTTTACTCAAAGTTAATGGAAAGTACTGATGTAACTCTGCTTGTGGAGGTTTTTTCCTTGCTACACTTCCTCATCCTTTTGCCCTATGACCCTGCTGTAAAATCTGCCCATTCCTCTGGCACCCCTCCTTCTCTAACATTGACCACTTTGGCCTTTTAGCTTTCCCTCCCCTTTTTAATCTCTCCCTTTTCTAATAGCAGTGCTGCCCCATTACCTTTGACAGCCATTATTGTTAATCTGACCACTGAATTGTACTGTATATCCACAGGGGGAGAAGGGAAAGAAGGGCAAAAAAGGGCCTAAGGGCGAGAAAGGAGAACAGGGTGCCCCAGGATTAGATGCACCCTGCCCATTGGTATGTGTGAGCTGGAAGCCACCTCCCGTAGCTGGGTCGAGTCCCAAACCAGGATGAGCGCTCTGTGGTGACGCTGTACTACTAGGCAGAGAAAATCACTCGCAACCTGGAATAAAACCTCTATTTTTAGCTCAATCCTGCTATCAAGACACATAAACATGGCATTATGGTAGAAATAGCATACAATTGAAGTGGTGACAGCAGCTACAGAGGCGCTCCTCCTTATTTTCTCCTCAGTGCCTGTCTCACTGACTGGACACTGTCTTAAGGGTCGTCCATCTTTCTCCCAGTAACACTCCTAGGTCCTCTCTGCAAACAGGGTTTCCGGGGATTTAAGGGTGAAAAGGGGGAACCAGGGCAGCCAGGTCTGGACGGGCTGGATGCCCCGTGCCAATTGGTACAGTATTTCTCTTTTTCCTGATCCTTTTTGCACTCATCGACTACATGCATGCATCCCATTTCAAATCACCATGAAAGCCCAACCATGACTGAAAAGTTACACGTGCATGGCCAGCATGTTACCACCACAGTCCACAGCCATACCCTCAAGGACCTCATATAACTGCTATACTAAGACTTTTGGATAACCTTAAAAAGTACTAAGGTGGCAAAGGTCCAAGGTGTTTAAGTAAACATACAGATTCCCGTTTGAAAACTTCTGGCACAAACACATAACTCTTCCCCTTCTGTCTGTTTCTCCCGTCTCAATCTTGTCATAGTACAGTACTTGCTGGACTATTAAGCACACCTGTATATCAGCTGCTCTATGTAAATGTTAAAAGAAAGTACTTTTGGTCCACATATAGACTTCACTAAATATAAGCCGCAGGTTTTCATGTTGTAATATAACTCTTGACCAACAGCTGAGGGAGCAAAACTAAACTGACTGTTTTAAACATCAAAGCAATAATAATAAGTCCAAAAACTCTGCTCTGACAATAACAAAGTCCTGTGTATTTCCAGCTCTTCCTTGTGTCTCTCTCTGTTGTTCACATAAACGCACACTGAAGCAGGATTGTGTCGTCATCAGTGTTGGAGATCAACATCTGTAGGATAGCATTGTATCCAAATCCCGCTTTAACAAAATTCATACACTACCGTTCAAAAGTTTGGGGTCACATTGAAATGTCCTTATTTTTGAAGGAAAAACACTGTAGATAACTTTAAACTAGTCTTAACTGTAAAGAAATACACTCTATACATTGCTTATGTGGTAAATGACTATTCTAGCTGCAAATGTCTGGTTTTTGGTGCAATGTTGTAATTGCTGCAAATGGAGGATTCTTTGACAAAAGCTAAGTTGGATGTAAAACAAATCTTATTTCAAATACAAATCATTATTTCTAATCTTGTCAATGTCTTGACTCTATTTTCTATTCATTTCACAACGTATGGTGGTGAATAAGTGTGACTTTTCATGGAAAACACTTGGGTGACCCCAAACTTTTGAACGGTAGTGTACATTGGCCCATCTCTATAGAAGCCGCAGAGTTGAAAGAACTTGACAAAAGTAGCGGCTTGTTTTTCAGCAAGTACTGCAGAAATGTAATGACTGATGCAAGGAAAAAGTACTTAGTTACTTGCCACCTCTTTCCAAAAAAAACATGCTGCCCTCCTTTTTTGAGTTTTTAGCCATGTTACAACAGTGTTCTGTCCTCAAAAACAGAGCTTGTTAACAGATGCGTCCACGCTATCATCAGGAACTTCTGGAACAAACATCTAACTCCGCCCCTTCTGTTTAAATGCTCCTGTCTCAGTCCTGTCATAGTATGATGTCATTGTATCACTATGACATCATACTCAGAGCAGTTGTCTGCCTTTTAAATCAAAAGTGTTGCTATAAATGAATCAGTTTTGGTCATTTCTAAAGTGAGCGGATGTTCTTTGCAAGCAAATGTGTTTGCAGACGGTAATTTTCTAAATAAAAGATATTTAAAAAACAATTCTACTCCTCCCTCTAGTGGTAGCATCGGGATAGGGCAGGTTGATAGCGTTGTTTACCATTCATTTTTGTTTCGCCAAATAATTTCTACTGAAGATATTATTTCACATTCTAAAACATGAAAGTTAATAGACTTAGTTTATTGCCACCTCTCTCCTGAAATAACATGCTACCCTCCTTTATAACCTCTTGTTGCAAAACGACTGATTAACAATTTTATAAGAATGCTCAGTCCTGTATCCTTCACAACCCTTTGTCTTAATGCTAACACTGAGAACGTCCCCTGTTAACTTTCCTCTTGTCTATTTGTACCAATTGGGCCAGACCAACGGGGGGGGGGGGGGGGGGGTGTAGCATTATAGTGTAGCATTATGGGTAAATAAGGCACGGCAAGATTATTTGTATAGCACAGTTCATACTCAAGACACCTCAAAGTAGGCATCCTGTCCAAATACATTCACATATTGCTTTGCATGAGATATAATTTGCAGTGGGAAATGCATGCAGGAAGAAAAGATAGATTAATGTTGTATATAAGTAGAAATAGTATTGACATCTATAATGAAGAGTGCTTGATATTTCTGTCAAAAATGTCTAAGATGAAAATGTTTTGTTGCCGTGTCTGTTTTTGTCATAAATAAGTAATAAATATGAGAAAACAGCTATTTTAAAATCACCAAAAAGACACTAATCTAGACTGATCATCTAAATGTTCCATGCTCAGTTGTAATTGTTTTGTGTTTTTGTTCCATTATAAACAGGGTCCTGATGGATTACCAATGCCTGGATGCTGGCAAAAGGTTAGCCTCGGAAAAATTGTATGATTTATTTTTATTTTTTTTGCTTAAAGGTTGGGTATGTGGTATTTTCAAATCCAATCCACTTTATTTATATAGCACGTTCCCAAAGTGCTGCACAGATAAAAGTAAACATCAAAATATAATATTGTATTTTTAAAATGTAAATTTAGTTCAAATTCTTGCTTTCTCCAATGTAAAGCAAATATATGACTTGTAATGATTTGCTTTCATTTGAAGGTGGGTTAAGTCATTTTCAACCCACGAAAATATGGAATTATAGAAAATCCATGTTACTTTTGAGTGTCCAAAAGAGCGCTATATATAAATATATGCATTATTATTATTATTATTATTAAGATTAAGATTAAGAGATCCTTTATTCGTCCCACAGTGGGGATTTTTCAGTGTTGCATCACAAGTTGTAGAACAGTAGAGGAGGAGTTAAGTGAACAATAGCTTTACTAATTAAATTAAAACAAAATCTCAAAATCTCATCAATAACAAGTATAAAAACTCAGTCTTGAAAATAATAATAATAATAAAAATAAGTGTAAATTATTGCTAGTTTCTCGCTCCCAAAACAGTCAAACAGGTTCTATCACTATAGTTTTCACGTTCATGTATTTTTGGCCTCCGTCACATCTTTAGATCAGACATTTTCAGACAGAAAAGTGACAAAGAGAGGACCTCCACAATCAGCTCTCTGCTCAAAGTGTCAAATAGTGACTCGCAGGGCTCTTTCTGACAAAAATGCAAAATATAACTTAAACTAATAAAGATTAAAACAACATGTTGCGGTGTGATTTCTACAAAATAGACTCTGTTGGGACAAAGAAAAGGTATTATTTATGAATAAGTTACACACCCCAGCTTTAATTCCGAAAGCCTTGAATGCAACGGTTTCTTTTGTTTTTAGTTCCTATTTTAATTGTCTTGATGCAAGTGACCCAAATACCCTTCTTTTAAGTGTATAAATCTGTATGTGGGTTTTTAAAAAATAATTTTTTAACCATTATAACATTGTGTGCAAAAGAAAATAACCAATTAATTCCATGTGTTGTGTGTGTGTTTTATCTTGCAGTGATCACTCTAACTCGAACCGCATGGAGTTTGTAAATAATGCTTCTTTTATGGTATTTATAGTTTTTTAATGGAAAAATATCTACGAGAAAAGAAGTTTATGTGTACAAAAAGAGATAACCATCTACTGCTACTGCTTACATCGCCGTGCTGTGTGGAAAACGTAAAAAAACAAAAAAATTACTAATTCTGCCGGAGCTCAAAAATCCCCGGCCGGTTTACAGAACTCGCCCTTTTTTCGGTCTTTGCATGGTCTAGACCGGAAGCCTCCACCGGGAAATGGAATTGGTACAGAAAAAATATGGAAGACGGAAAAATTGGAGGCCTGCTTTTTTTTGGAGAAAGGGGATCTGGCTTGGGCCTGGTTTTTGCTAACACCCCAAAACGCTCGGAGTTCTTTGTTGTTGTTTTGTCATGTTCGCCATTTTAAGACTTAAAAAAAAAAAGAAAAAGTGACTATATGACAAGCGCAACATGGCTCCTCTGATCTCGCAAACAAGCATGGTTCCGTGGTGTATTTATGTCTGTAGTGTACATACATGTTTGGTGTCGAAAATCCACGCTTAAAAAGACTTTTGGACATGTCTGTTTGTTTCTTTCAATCCCAAGGGAGTGACCCCGTGGTTGGTCGCCTGAAAACACCGGGAGGAAGCCAAGATGAAAGGTGGCCGTTACTATGGTGATGCCTGCGTATATTTGTGATACAAGCAGATTTTTTTTCCACCATCAAAACTCGTGTCGCGTTCTTTCGTTTGGACTCTTTCCGCCCGGTTTGGGAGACTGGACTGGAGGAGAGGGAGGAGGAGGAGGACTTGGCTCGGTCTGACCCAGCGGCGATCGGAAAACGCATTAAGGTTTCTTGAGAGATGCGTTCGTGGGGCCTTTGCGAGCGTGGGAAAGGACAGCGCTGGAGTGGTCTTCAGGGACACCAGCTGACTTATAAGTTCTACTGAGCTTCATGCATTTTCTTTATTATTTTCTTAGCTCTAAATCTTAAGCATTTTATAATTTGTGTATTATAGCCTTTGTGCCTAAAGCTTTTATTCATTCCTGTATTCACAATGTACATTTGTTTTGGTTTCTTTCTCACGTAACATTTGCTGGAATTGAAAAAGACTCGCCGTTTTCTCGTTGAGTCGATATGTAGGTCACAGCTTTTGCCCGGGCAAACATTGTCATGATTTAAACAATCATTGATCTGCTCTGATCCAGTGCTGTTGTCGTTACGTAGATGCTGGATTTGATGAGTTAATTCTTGTTTTGCTGCATGTATAACTATTTCATATGAACGTGTTTATCTCTTTTAAAGTAGGGCTGCGGAAAATTCAACCCAAGTCTGCGATTGCGGAGACAAAACGGCTGGATTATTTGGGGTTATCGTTGGTTTAGTGGTTTTTGTGTGACATTATACAGTCTGCACTGGTGTTCACAGGTGATTAAGGCAAACATTTCAAAATAATAGGCGTTAATTAAAGCTGGGGTACCTAACTTTGCTCCTATCTATTTCTATCTAGTTTCCACATGCATGTATTCCTATGTATTGGCCCCAGTCACAGCTTTAGATCAAGTTTTTCCGACATAAAAGTGACAAAGAGAGGACCACCGTCTCTCGGCCAATCAGCTCTCATTATGTAAACGATAGCATAGCGTTGTGGTCCGATTCTTTCACAAACTGTAACTTAATTTCAGGTTAGGACAAACGCAACATATTTATGAAAAAAGTTAGTTACTCCAACATAACAACCATAACCGCTGAATATTTTTGCAGCCTTATTTTAAAATCAATATTCCTGTTAGGTTCCGTATTCAAACCACAGATTTCACTGCAAAATAATACAAAAATGAGTTAATAAGGGATTTAATTTTTTAGCATATATTGACTAAACTTGAACCGCATTTGCCAATCATACGCACTAACATCTGCTTTCTCAGTTTGATTGCTATTTTTTGTCATATTTTTGGTCAAACAAGAAACTCTATTCTATACACAAGCTGCCATTCACTCATTTTTGTATATTTTTTTGCAGTGTTGCTAACCAGGTATAAACTAGAGTCAAACTTGTGGCCAGTTTTGTCACATTCCCTCTCGAGCAGTCTGCAAAGTCATCCGTGTTTTTATGTTTTTTCTTGGAATGAGGTGAGATTCTTCGTAACTAGTTTTGCAAGATCATAGCTGTGATCGCAATTTCTATGTTTTTTTGTTTTTGTTGAAACAGTATTTAAAATGAACGTTTGAAGAGCAACCAATGTTTCTTGCGATGCAGCAGCGAACACACGAGTAAAGTCATGTCAGACGCTGGAATAGGTTGTGTTCATGTTGTATCTTTTCAGTATAATACAAAGAAGCTATTTTTTTATGTTGAAAACAAAAGTGTCCATATGTATTCCCAGATAAGTACTTTAATAGATTTAGATTCAGAAACCCGCCATATTATTTTTATATCGGTAAGTCCTTTCTACTGGCCAACACCATGCAAATGTTTTTTAATATTGTCACCACGTCTAGACGACTTTGGGAGAAAATAATTTGACCATAGTTAATAGGCACTGGCAAAAATAATGGGGAACCTTATGAGAGTTTTTGTTTTATGTGGCTTGCCCCAGAAAATACAGAGATATTAGTGATAAACCATAGATTGTTAATTAGAATGGTAAAATAGCTTGAGCCAATTTCCTTATATGGGCATTTGTGACGACGGCATTCGCTTTGTCCTTTAACAGGGGCAGACATAATGCTAAGGTAAAATGATTGGATAAGATTAATATCTGGATGTCCAAAGATAATATCAAAATAAGAATGTAAAAATATAAAAACCCCATTTAGCACTAAGTAAAGTAAGTAAGTAAAGTTTATTTGTAATGCGCCTTTCACAGACCAGGATCACAAAGCGCTTCACATTTCAAACACATTAAACAAATAAAAGTCAGATTTAAAAACACTAAACCAGAGGAGTTTACTTTTCAATGCAAGTCTTGGTCAGGACCAGAGTTGGAGGATTTTACCTATTGTACATGTTTTAGCGGTAGGGGAAACCGGAGCACCTGGAGGAAACCTACGCAGACACAGGAAGAACATGCAAACTCCACTCATTAATACCCTGTCCTGACTAGAATCCAAACTAAGTCCTTCTTTACTGAGAAGTGAGTGAGCTAACCACTGTCGCCTCCAAACAAAATCTAGTTACCATAGTTACCAGGAACAACATATTCAGCTGCCTCCACCATCACCGTCTCGCCTGTGATGTCACATGAACACAACCTATTAAAGAGACGGGACTACACCCGTGGACACGCCTGCATTCAAGTTTCTTTATTGTCGTTGGTTGCTTGCGTCGTAACCATTTCTGTGCATATATATTTGTGTATTGTCTCATACTTTTTTATTTATTTTTTTATATATGAGTTCTTAAATGAAGGCATCGGTTTGGTTTTCAGCAGCATTCCTTCCAGTTATTTTTTATATCTCTCAAGAAACCGTGTCAATATCGAGTCGTCTATAGTTCATCTTCAGTGCATTTTCTTCTGTGTAGGCCTTATTGTGGGGTAAAAACGATGTATGTATGTAAGCTTGCAGCCTGGATGTACGCAGGCTCCGTCCGAACACTCTCTCCCATCTTTGCATTGAATGTAGTGTGATATATGTATAGTGGATTGCTATTGTATTGTTGAGATGTGTGCTCATTCGACAAAAGTGCAATTTATATTTTGGTTCACAGCGCAATCGCGGCGACTTCACGTGACGTTTGTAAGTAAAAAAAAAAAAAGGCTCTACTCATTTATACCACTACCTGAAAAAACACAAAACAATCCCACGGTTCACAACTTTTCTTCCACTGATGCAATTCGAAGTGTTTGATTTGTATCGGTTTCTTTTTTATGATTATTATTATCGTTCTGACGTATTTTTGTTTTTGATTTACCGCAAATGTCCTCTCGTGGCGCTGTGTCTTGACTGTGTGCAGCTAGCTTTTTTATTTTTAGGTTTTGTCATTTTGAAATTGTTTCGTGTTTGAGATATCGGCTGATGCGATTGAGTTCTGAGAATGGCTTAAAGCTGGAGTATGTAACTTTAAAGCCACAACAATCAGCTATTTCATTGTAAAACTGCAATTCCTCGTTCCCAATTAATTATATATTTAATCACTATATATTTTTGACCTCTATCACAGCTTTAGGTCCCACTTCATAAGTAAAAAAGTGAAAAAAAGAGGTCCACCCACTCTCAGCCAATCAGCTCTCTTCCCAAAGGGTCAAATAGTGACTCACAGGGCTCTTTCTCACAAACAATATAAAAAATGAAATTGATTTGTTCACAACATTTTACTTTTACAAGACTCTTTCTGTATTGGGACAAACTATTTACAACATGTCTCCTTCCATTGGGAGAAAAACTATATACATTTTGAAAAAGTAAAGTCAGGTACCCCAGCTTTAAGTGTCAGCAGTATTAAGGAGGAGCGGCACGTTTTGACTTTAGCGCTTGTTTCTCTTCACCTTCTTTAACAAAAAAAACGTATTGTTTATTATGAAATTATTTACAGTTTAACAAAACAGGAGACTAGTAAATAATAAGTTTGGTGTATTTTTTTCAGCACTGAGTAAAAACAGCGAATGAATTGCTTGCCCCTTTATTGACATTTCTTTGACACAAATGTTCATAACATTTTCAAGTGACTTCTGTACCGTTGGAGCCAAATAAATGCAAACTTTAAATACAAATGTCGTCTTTCATGGGTTGGGTTGGTCACATATTGTGAGCGAGTTAATGGGTGATCATTTAAAAGATTTCTCAATTCAATTCAGAATATTTTTGTATAGCCCTAACAGCCGTCGTCTTAGGACTTTACAGAGTTGTTGATCGCCAAAATAGATCATAGAATCGCACAGTTCAAAGTGAGTCTCATAGAGAGGGATCTGCTCCCCCAGCTGGACAGGCTGAAGATCCAGAACTCAGGCTGAGGCGGCTACTTTGAAGAACCAGGATTGTACGTACATACATAATTCCTCATGAGTTAATTTCTGGTTTTTATGCCTTCAGTGTGAATGTAAAATGTTCATCGTCATGAAAATAAATAAAACAATCTTTGAATGAGAAGGTGTGTCCAAACTTTTGGTCTGTACTGTACTACTTTCACATGTAGTGTGCAGTGAAATACAATGAATAATGCCTTTATGTAAAAACAGTAAGTGTTTCCAGCTCTGGTGCTCCAAACCGGGTCCTGCCAGCTGCCCCATGAAAGGTTATGTGATGGTTATGGATTTGTGATTTTTTTTAAAATAAAAAAGAACTAACCAGAATTTATTAGAGGTCAATTCATAGTTTTGTATAACCCTAAATCACAGCAGGCGTCTCTGAGGAGGGACAGAGTTGATTCACCTGCAACAGTTCGAACACAGAAAATGCAGTTGTTAGTATTAGATAGCAATATGGCCTACGTGCAGGACTCTACAAGGACTCCATGTTATGACTATGATGTGACTGTCTCTTTGTGACACGTATGTCTTTCGATGTGTGACGTGACAATGACTATATAAACTGTGTACTGCCTTTATTCTGTCGGAGGGAAAGAAACAAGGGAAACCATTGGAACTTGAGAGAAACTTAAATAAACTTCCAGAGTTTGGCGCACCACAATCCTTCTCTGTCTGCTTCATCCCTGACAGAGAGAATGCGCGGCTCGGTGTGTGCCATTCTCTGGATTGTTTTGAGGGAGTTTCCTTTGTTTTCTTTTCCTCGGCATGAGAGACCGGCATGCTGCGTCTGGGAGCGGAGATTCCAGCAGGCTGGAAGAGCTGTTCCTGGATGCTTCTTGTTGCTTCTGTCACTTTTGTCATTTATCAGCCTGAAATTCATCCATTTCAGAGCTTTTGTAACAAAGGCCTCTTTAACACATTTCCCTTTTTATTGATTTTATGTTTACACCATGGTTTCACTAAGGATCCTTCACTTTTATGGCCTTTACACTTATGGATCCTTCACTCACTTTTATGGCCTACACTTTATGGATCCTATACACTTTATGGCCTTTACACTTATGGATCCTCACTTATGGCCTTTACACTTATGGCCTTTACACTTATGGATCCTATACACTTTATGGCCTTTACACTTATGGATCCTTACTTATGGCCAATACACTTTATGGATCCTCACTTACTTGAACACAATTTAGAGAGTTCGACAGACCTCAAAAACAGACCAAAATTTAGCTAGTATCCAATTATGCAGACTTTACATATAAAAAGGTGTCTGCTTACCTTATTCTTGTCAAACCGGTTCCAAAGACTGTCCAAGAGGTCTGCCAACTCTTTTCCGCGTCGGAAAATTCA